TGCCTTGATTTAAACTTGTCACCACCGGCAAATGAGCAGCCACAAAATAATACTACGACTTTATATAATCAACAAGACGACTGGTAAACTTCAATTTTACTACGCTTTAGTGATGTTTTTTTATGTTTTAATTGGATTTGTATTAACACTCATATTTTTTATAGGGGGTACCGTTCGGATATGAATTTTACAAGTTATGACCCCGCCCCTAGTTGGAATATGCGTAGTTCCGCAGTATTGGACCACGGTGGTCCATCCGGGAGTCATCACCAACATGAAAACATCCATCATGAAACGTCAAGACAATACAATTTGTAAGTAAAGTGATATAGCTATATCTAAAGTTTTTTTCCTGAGTTTTGGGTAACTTATCTTTTTGTTCTTTTTGTGCAGTGAAAACGAGCTTCTTGAAGCTCCTGACCTCACACAGTTGCCCATAGACGACGTATTTACTCGTGATTTGGCAGATGCGCAGAGTCAGGAGGATGATAGTGATTATGACAACAATGCGGATGAGTCTGGGGATGACACACCCTTCCATGATGAGGGTGATGATGAGGAGGAGGAAGTGAATGTTGAACCCGAGTTGACGAGGGAGCATGTTCCTCCACCTCCCGCTAGAGCAAGAGTGTACGAGTCCCACGTGCCATTTCATAAGAGGAATATTCCCTACCTTGATAATTTGCCAAGCATGCATAACGTGGATGCCCTCACAAGGGATGATGATGAATTACGGTCAGCGATGTGGGATGAGTCTAGACCAGCTGTTCTATCAAAGGGCATGTATTTCCGCGATAAAGCTCGCCTAATTAGGGCTGTAAAAATCTACAGTATAAGAGAGTGTCGTGAGATGACGGTAAGTGAGTCAACTACGGAGAAATACAAGGCTGTATGCCGTAGGTGGTTTATGGGTTGTCACTGGATGCTGCGTGCCACCAAGAAGAAATCAGGTTTGTGGAAAGTGGGTAAATTTATTAGTGAGCACAGATGTGAAATGGACACATTCAATGAGAATCACTTCAACTTGGATGTGGACTTGATTTCCCTTGTCTTGATTCCATTTTTGGAAGTGTCCATTAGGTTCAAGATTAAAGAGTGTATTACAGCCGTCCACCAGGAGTATGGTTGTACTATAACCAAAAGAAAGGCATATCTCGGTCGCAAACGTGCCTTTGAACTTATTTATGGCGACTGGGATAAGTCTTTTTCAAATCTGCCCAGGTACATGGCCGCACTGCAACACTTTAACCCCGGGACTGTTGTTGAATGGAGGCGTGAGCGGAGTCCGTACAGACCGGAATATATTTTCAACTATGTGTTTTGGTCATTTAAACTAGCAATTGATGATTTTGTGCATTGTCGTCCTGTAATTTCCATAGACGGTACTCATGTCTATGGAAAGTATGATATTAAGCTTTTGATTGCAGTTGCAGTAGATGCCAACGGACAAATATTTCCACTAGCTTTTGCCATTTGTGCCAACGAAAGTGAAGAGACGTGGACGCATTTTTTGAACCACTTGAAGCAGCACGTTGTCAAACACCGTTCAGGTATTTGTCTAATATCTGATCGGCATGGTGGTATTTTAAGTTCTGTACGTCACTTGCCTGAATGGCATGAACCATATGCATACCACCGTTACTGTGTGAGGCACCTGAAGGCCAATTTCCAGAAGAAATTTCCTGACAAGGCCTTGCATGACTTAATGTGGATGGCTGCAACTGAGCACCAGCAGTGCAAATTCACGAGGCGCATGGAAGCGATCCGGCAGATAGATCCACGAGCCTATACTTGGTTGATGCAACATGAGCTTCACATGTGGACATTGCATGTTGATGGCGGCAGACGATGGGGAGCCCTCACTACAAACGTGTCGGAGTCATTCAACGGCTTGTTGAAGTCTGCCCGTGGACTGCCTGTCACTGCCATGGTCCGCATGACATTCAAACAGAGTGCGGAGAGGTTTGTTGAAAGGCATGCAACTGCATCGGCATTGATGGACAGGGGTGTTGAATTTATGCCAATACCCATGAGAAGATTTGAAAGGTCAGGAGGCGAGCACAGTGGCATTCATTTCTTCAGTACGATCATGAACGGGGTGTTTTTGAAGTTAAGACCGCTATCAACGGACACCGTGGGAATAATCTACAGACGGTGAATGAAAATAGAAGGTTATGTTCATGTGGGAAATGGACCATCTACCACATGTCGTGCGCACATGCGTTGAAGTGCTTTCAACAAGTTGGTTATGGGGCAACAAACTATATTGATAGGCAATACAGTGTTGCTGCATACGTAGACACGTATAGTGGGAAGTTGCATCCATTAGGTGCTGAGTATTATTGGCCGTCGGAACCTTTTAAGATGGTATGTAACAAGGACTATTTGAGCAAGCATCAAGTGCAAAAGAGAACCCGTATACGGAACCAAATGGATGTTGGTGAGTCCGTTTATGCGCGTAAATGTGGCATATGCTCGCAAACAGGACACGACCATCGTAAATGTCCTTCAGGTGGTGTGCGTGGCGGTGGTAATCCTGGTGCAAGTTCGTCCAATGTACCCAACTATCAAGGATACCCCTAGTCTTTTATTTTGGTTTTATTTTTTATAATACATGTCTGTAGTTGTGTTTGTTTCAATATATATGAAATAAAATAAATTTCCACAACCTTGTTACATCTTATTTTTTAACGTTATATTTTGATATGGTTGTTCAAATATTGAGGTATGGGTGTTAGTAAACATGACCAAGAATGTGGTATAAAAAAAAAATTCGTTAAAAAATAAATTAAATATGTAAAGCGTGGTACAATAAAGTGTTTTATCAATTACAAAGTCGTTCTTAAAAAGCTGTAAAGCGTGGTTCAAAAGCTTGAATGAATGAAGAAAAAGCTTTTTTTTTTTGCAGAGAAATTTAATATGTAATTCGCAGTATAATACTACGTTTTGTTGAGTTGTCATGTCATTCTGAAAAAGCTGAAAACCATGTGAAAACCCTATTTTTTTATCAGAATAATTAAATATGTAAATCGCAGTATAATACTATGTTTTGTTGAGTTGTCATGTCGTTCTGAAAAAGCTGAAAACCATGTGAAAACCCTGTTTCGTGTAAGAAAAATTTAATATGTAATTCGCAGTAATACTACGTTTTGTTGAGTTGTCATGTCGTTCTGAAAGAGCTGACAATCATGTGAAAACCCTGTTTCGTGTCAGAGAAATTTAATATGTAATTCGCAGTATAATACTACATTTTGTTGAGTTGTCATGTCGTTCTGAAAAAGCAGAAAACCATGTGAAAACCCTGTTTTTGTATCAGAATAATTTAATATGTAAATCGCAGTATAATACTACGTTTTGTGTGAAATATTGACTATAAATAACGGTCGCATGCTACTTATATTCTTCGCTTAACAATAACCAAAGTTTCTCTATAAGAAATATCTGAACAAAACGTTTACGTCCCAAGGTGCTACTGCGGAGAAAAATGCAGTATGTACAAATGGTGGCTAGATGGTGGACGTCGCTACTGGGCATGTACGAACAAGCTTGACGAGCTACCCGGCAAGCCTACATGTGAATTTGAGGCTTGGATGGATGAACCATGTAACCAGGAGTACTACAAAGAAAGAATTTATCACCTTCATTGTACCTGTACAAGCCAAGCAGTACGCGAGCGCCGAACCAATGATGAAATTGAGGCGTTGAAGGCCAAACTCAACGAGGTAGAAGAAGAGAAAAAAAAGCTGGAAGAACAACTCGAGTGGTTGGAGCAAATTGTAGTACGCGGTCGTGATTAAACAATGGCTTGTACGTGATAAGCGTAGTAGTGTATTTTTATGTTTCTCTTGTCATGTGTTTGCATTAGTTGTACTGTTTGTATCGTTAGATTTGCCGCTTTTGTGTTTGTGTTGTCATGTTCAAATAAAATTGCTGTTCAAATTTTGTTCCAATAAAAATATTGTTATAGTAGAGTTGTTGTCATTAAATACATAATGTATTATTTTCTTCATAGAATTGTTCAAATATTCAACTTATTATTGTAGCTAAAGAACTCCAAACTAAAAAATTTTAAAAAAAATTATATGTAAAGCGTGGTATAATACATACGTATAGAATCGTTCTGAAAAAGCTGAAAACCATGTGAAAACCCTATTTTTTTATCAGAATAATTAAATATGTAAATCGCAGTATAATACTACGTTTTGTTGAGTTGTCATGTCGTTCTGAAAAAGCCGAATATACCCGTGATCGACAATGCTCCTGACGGGGTGACCTGCGATGCCGACAGAGATAGCTAAAGGCTGTAAGAAGGCATGCTGCTGGAAGGCTCATCTGCCTGAGGTATATAACCCTGCTGATCATCTCCAAGCGCCTCAACTCCAAAGTCCTCATCCTGTCCCTCAGCATGTGGGTCGACAAGTGCCTCACCGCCCCATTGTTGGGGACCACCTCCTCGCCGTCCCTCACGACCCCCGCGACCCCGTGGGGCACCCATGGCTCGTGGGGCACCCCTCCCTCGTGCCCTACCCCTGCCTCGCGGGACACCCCTACCCCGATGGTAGGCCTCTGGCGCCGCGTACTGAGCCTCGCGGTCCAACCTCGCGGCATCTCTCGCCTGCAACAGTGTCCAGCGAGCCATCTGTGACACCTACCGGCCATACTCAACCACTTCAGGGATGTCGGCACGTTGCTGCATCTGCTGACCCAACTAGAAGAGCTGATGATGCCCAATAGCCTGTGAAACATTTAAAATATTAATTAAATAACGCTATATCCAAATTATAAGATATTAATAAGCCACAAAAACATACCAGTGCCTCGAGCCTCCCGGCATACGGTCTGTAGCGCTCGTCAAGTATATGAATGGGGTTCCCGATCATCAGTCGGGTGTGATGGCGGTACCACTCAGTATACAGATGGACAGTGGCCTCCTGGGTAAATGTGGGTGGTGGCGGAATACGCTCAACTCGCTCCTCCCAATAAACTATCTGCTGCTATAGCTATCCCATATACCGCTGGTCCATGCTGCCGCGGTCGTCCCGCTGATAGTGTGTAGCCTCCCATCCAGGCTCCCTCGGTATAGGCTGGGGACGGTGAAACTGTCGAAGCACACGATCTGTGGCATGATACTCAACGTGATCGAAGAAGATCATCGGCACAGAGGTGCTCCAAAGCAGCCGGTCGACTGAGCAACATGCGAGCAGCTGAGCAACCAACTCGACGCTGTATGGCGTCCAGATGAACTACCAAATAATAACACAAAAGTGAGTACGCGCGACACAACTCAATTTAAAACAAGCAAGTGTAGGTACATTTTTACCTGTCTGTCCACCAACATATCTAACACATCCCTGACAAGGGGGAGATTATGATGAGCATCGCTCCCTCGGTAGTTCCCACGCCGGAGAATCCACCTGACAGCTAGAGGGAGAAACGGATAAGCATCACTGGGCGGAAGTGGTGATAGAGGTGGCTGCAACGGCATGATCCGCTGCCAGGCCCAAACCTAAGAGAAAAGGTTGATGTAAAATTTATGAGTCATTTCACGATATACAATTCGGAGTAATGAACAAAGTATTCGAAAATTTTGTCACCTCTAGGAGGGGCAGAAAACCACATATATCCATCGCTGGGCCCATGCTCGCCCGGCACATGCTCCTATACAGGTATGCCAGAACAGCAGAACCCCAGCTGTACTGCGGTAACTCATCCAGCTGCTGGAGATAATGGAGAAAGCGCATAGTCACTCTACTCCCCGAAGTGTCCGGGAACAAGAGACACCCGAAGAGCAGGAGCAACGCCAACCGCGTGTACCTCTCAATCCAAAGATCCTCCGTCTCGCCATGAATGTCTGGGTGCAAAAACACCATCTGATCTCTAATGGCTGACAAAAGAACGCGACTGCCCCCAGCGCCACCCTCTGGTCTAAAACCAGTAAACTCCCCCATCATATCCAAAAACTGGGCACGCGTCATCCCTCTAATGTACTGGGGCAGTGCCACGGCCCGTCCATCCACGTGAAGCCCGTATAAAACCTGAATATCCTCAAACGTGATGGTGGCCTCTCCGGTGGGCAAGTGAAAAGTATGCGTCTCCGGTCGCCACCGCTCTACCAACGCCGTGATGAGAGACCAATCGAGCTGCATCCGTCCAAGCTGAACAATCGTATAGAAGCCCGTAGCCTGTAGGCGCTCGACTACGCGGCCATGGAAAGGATGCTCCGCGATGAACTCCCACAAATCGTCGGGCCTCCTGGGGCGGAGAGGCTGCTCCGATAGCTGTCCCTCCCATACAAAGGAGGACCTATGGTCGCCCTGCAGCACTAAAAGCTGATCCTCGGCAGGTCCAGGATGCGCAGGCGGAGGAAAGGCCATGTCGTCTACTATAATTTAAACAAAATTTATTGTGTGTGTTAGTTTAATAAATTAAATAATTAATTATGTTTAGTACTGGACTGAATAATTACGTATGGCTTCCAGGCTAGATTTTTGAGGCCCGGTAGCACCAAGCTATCCTTAATTATTATGCGTGTCAATTTCAATATTTTTAGAATATTACTCAGTATAATGAATTAAATAATTAACTATGTTTAATATTAGACTGAATAATTAAGTATGGGTTCCAGGCTTGATTTTTGAGGCCCGGTAGCACCGAGTTATCCTTAATTATTATGCGTGTCAATTTTATTAGCTTAATGAATTAAATAATTAACTATGTTTAATATTGGACTGAATAATTAAGTATGGGTTCCAGGCTTGATTTTTGAGGCCCGGTAGCACCGAGTTATCCTTAATTATTATGCGTGTCAATTTCAATATTTTTAGAATATTATTAGCTTAATGAATTAAATAATTAACTATGTTTAATATTGGACTGAATAAGTAAGTATGGGTTCCAGGCTTGATTTTGAGGTCCGGTAGCACCGAGTTATCCTTAATTATTATGCGTGTCAATTTTATTAGATTAATGAATTAAATAATTAATTTTTGTAAAGTGTAATCTAAAAGGCTCTACTACGCTAAAAGGCTATATATTTTACTACACTAAAAGGCTCTATATTTTACTACACTAAAAGACTCTATATTTTACTATGCTAAAAGGCTCTATATTTTATTACGCTAAAAGGCTATTTAGTTTACTACGCTAAAAGGTCACTATTACATATAAAAACAACTAACATAAAATACAAATATGAACAACAAACAAACAAAATAATATTAATTTTTTATTTAACCAAATAAAAACATAACATTTAAAATACTAATAATTTATCAACTTTTAACATTTTTTTTTACCAAAACTAATAAATCAAGTCGAGTATAAATAACATACAAATTTAAACACAAACTATCACACATTTTACATGGAAACACATTAAACAATACAAATATGCATGTATTATACTAGTTTCTACAATTATAAAATCGAAATACCTCGATTGAAGTTTTTTGAATTTGATTGAAATGGAATACTACGATCGAGAGAAAGAATCCAAAGCTTGTCTTGTGCCTGGGACCTACACTCCTTGCTCCTAAGGTGACGGGTGGGTCCGAAATTTTTTTTTTAAAAATATTACGGGGGTGGGGGACCAGAATCGCTGGAGTTTTTTAATGGTGGGTGGGGAAGCTGTGTCGGTCCAAAGGAAGAAGAAGACGTATAAATCAAAGGGCAGTTTGCAGTATAATACTGCGAAATGCTTTTTGAAAAATAGTTGGGCCCATTTTTAAGCATTTCGCAGTATTATACTGCGAATTGCTAAAAAAAAGAAAATTTTTAATAATTCGCAGTATAATACTGCAAATTGCTTTAACGGCTAAAATTCCGTTAAAGCAATTCGTAGTATTATACTGCAAAATGCTTATTAATGTTACTTTTTTTTTTAACATAAAAAATGTACTTTTTGTACAAAAAAAAGCATCAAAAAAGTTTTGAACTCGTAGATATAGCTCGTACGACTTCTTCATTATTTGGCACACTAGCCTCCTAGCACGACATAGAGCACCTCCATTCGTACTATGCTAGGAAAGTGAGGAGCTAAAGAATTAGGGTTAGTTGATTGCTAGTTGAGAGTTTCTTATAGTCTTACCGGTAGTATAAGTATTATTTTTATATTATTTTATTCTTAGATCTTTATTACTACCTACTATGTCGTTCGCTTCTCTTATCTTATTACGTTATTAATATTTTTATGTTTGTTGCTTCCTTTTCATTGTTCCTTGAACCGAGGGTCTATCTGTAACACTCTCTACCTTCACAAGGTAAGGATAAGATCTGCATACACATTATTCTATCCAAACCCAACTTGTGGCATTACAAGTTAACTTTTTTTTTTTTTTTTAACAAGATAACATGTATATTATTAGCAATGAAAGCAATCCTTAGCACAAAGACTGTGCTAAGAGGAACCCGAGATATAGGGGCCCAAAAAAGAACAAAAAGTTAGTCATGTGCTAGTTACAATGGTAAAAATAGTATGGTCTAGCAAGTTTTCGGATTGGTCATTCAAAAATAGCCAACGTTTACCAAGTCAATGAAAAATAGCCACTATTTTGCTGCAACAGAGACCGGTCCAGCATAATATACTGGAGTTTGGTGCACCTGTGTATGAACTTCCAGCATATTATGCTGGAACTCCAACAAACGGAAAGTTCCAGCATAATATACTGGAGATTCGAGCACTTGTGTATGAACTTCTAGCATATTATACTGGACCGGTATACTTTGCTGGAACTCCAGACATTATGCTGGAGTTCTAGTGTACTTATGCTGGAACTTCATCATATTACTCTGGAGTTCCAGCATACTTATACTGGAACTCCAGTATAATATGTTGGAGTTCAAGTATACCTATGCTGGAACTGCAGCATAATATACTGGCGTATTTTCCGGGTTTTGAACAGTGTTTTCGCTCAGATTTATCTTTATATGAAAAGTTGCTAAATTTCGATTACTTTTAAAACTGGGCTATTTTTGAACGACCACTTGTAAATCTGGCTATTTTTAAATTTCTCTTGTTACAATGACCCAAAAGATATCAACTACTGAATCTACATCTTCTACTAGTGCTTCTTTACACCAAAAATGAAACAAAAATATACAATTCATAATGATCTTCTGTTCAAAGTTGATTATCCTTTCAAAGCATCTTAAGTTCCTCTTGTTCCAAATTATCCATCAAATACGTGCAGGGATCACGTTCCACCAAGTCTTCCTTGGTAAGTTACATGGATCGTTCCAACATGCTAGCATATCTGCACTTGTCCTGGGCATTACATTCAGTTATTTATTTATTTATTTATTGTTATTCGTACTATATACCCTCAATTTTCAGAAATTGCTTTCAAATGATGTCCAACCTCAACCAAAAGAAATCAGGGAAATACTGCTATATAAAATAATTTAGTGAAGTGTAGTGCTAGCTCATCAAGTATCCTTTGAGAAGTCCAAGGAAAATTAATGAGCATTATACTTGAATTATTATTGGTTACGAACTAATATTGTGTTTGGCATGATATTCTTTTAAAATTTTTAGTGATTTTCACATATGTATCTATACTCCGCGCCGCAAATAAGACCGTTTGAAGTGAGATTTGGACTGCCAATTTTACTCGTAGAGGTGCACCCAATTTTATTGTAGCATAGGAGTCTTTGACTATGGGTGCACGCACATATATTTAAGTAATTTTGGAAAAATAAACATTATTATATACTCCCTCCGTTCCAGTTCATGTGAACCTATTTCCTTTTTGGTCCGTTCCAAAAAGAATGACCCATTCCTAAATTTGGAAATAATTTAGCTTAAACTTATAATTCTACCCTTAACGAGAAGCTTTTATAACCCCACAAATACTCTCGGCCCCTTTTTTGGCTTGATTAGGACCACAAATTCCAAAAGTCTACATTTTTTCTTAAACTTCGTGCCCAGTCAAACAGGTTCACATAAATTGGAATGGAGGGAGTATGGTTTAGGGAGAAGAGTATGGGTTCACGTGAACCCATACCCAAGGCCTAGATACGCAATGTGACGTACCATTTAAAAACAAATATAAAAAATGACAAATTTAAACCAAACCAAAAAAATAAAAATAAAAAATACACGTCCTTAGTAACCTTCTGGGTAATTTAATATCTCGACCAGATTGACCACATTTGTTCGACCACTATATATTAATCTATCCTCTGGGAAACTTACACAGAGAGTTTCTCCTCCAATAAATTATCAAGAAACAATTGCTGAACTTCAATTTTCCAGATATTAAAGAGGAAATAGATAACATAAATCAATCTAGGAATCAGGAAATTTTTCAAACTATACAAGCAAATTTCCGATCCTCAAAGGTGTATATAATATATATATATATATATATATATATATATATAAGGTGACTAATTCGATAACAAGCTTTATCCCTCCTTCTACATTGAGGTTTCAGAAGTTCTTCCCCGAAGGAGATGCATTAATGCAAGAACCTTTATACTGGAAATGGATCGTAAATGTACGTATCTCCTCTTAGGTCCTTTACAACTGTGGATCTCATTTGCATGACAAAAGAACGAAATCCCACGTACTTCTTCTAACAGAAGAGAGCAATCAGTTCAATAGATACGAGGCGTTTCTAGTCATAATCATAACAGTTCTTTTTGGTCCTTCCCTTTTCTAGACGTGCTTTTCGAACTGCCTCTTGAATTTGTCTCTCGTGTTCCTTTAACATGTCTTCCATACTTCCCCCTGGTGGCACTAGTGGTCCAGAGCAAAGGATTCTACTTTTCTTTGGCACATAAACCTGAAACAAAGACCAATCTCAGGCTCAAGGAAGCTCAAAAAAGGAAGTTAATGTTCAGTATTAAATGAATCATGCAAACAAGTTTGTATCCAAATCAATATCTTCTTGAATAGCCAAACTGATATAACCTTGGGAGAACCACACACCAAAAGCTAGCTATTAGGTGGGAGAGCGCAAGGCTATATAAACCCCCCCACATCGGTACTTTGTGGTACCGATGTGGGACTCAAGTCTCATTCCTTGCAATAGACCATAACAAACCACCACCCTTCGCATCCGTCGTCCTCGACAGCTCTGCGCTAGAAAATGACTAGCCCCTGGCGAACACTGCAATACCGACGTCACCATCCAAGGCACAATGGGCACAGAGGGTGGTGGGTGGCTCTGATACCATTGATACAATCCAAGAAGAACCACACCTCAAAAGCTAGCTATTAAGGTGGGAGAGCCCAAGGCTATATAAACCCCACATCAGCACATTGCAATACTGATGTGGGGCTCAAGTCCCATACTTTGTAATGGACCATAACACAAATCTACTGCTAGCTCAACAGCCTAAAAAGGATCCACAGCGACGGTTATTAAACCTAATAATATTGGCATGTGTATGTGTGTGAGGAGTTGCAATAGGTATTTAACTTTGTAAAAGGAAAACCAGCTTATATAAACTCTTTCCGTGAAGCATGTTTGCAGTTCGTGTTTAACAAACCGAAGAAGATAATTGGAAAGTAAAGATTCAAGTTACGCACCGTTGAATCCCCATAAGATGACCCATCATCCCTCTTTGAATGGACACTAGAAAAGTCTCCAACAGCTCGAGACTTGTGCGAACCTTGCCTTCGAAGCTCTCCACCATGTTGGGACACACATGAATCCTCTTTGACTTTGTGAGCATAGGCAGCTGCAGTAGGATGGACCACTGAAGTAGAATGAGTGAATCCGTTCCTATTTTTCACTCTTGGCGGCTCAATAGGGAATCCAGTTCCACTTTCTTCTAAAGGATTATATTTCACACTTTTGCTTATATTTGACTGTCCCTGCAATATTGTAACCATTTCAATGACAAAGTGAACACACTCATTTCAAAATTTTTGAGCAAATAGAAGAATATCAACCTGTCCGGCATTGGATTCTGTAGTACTTTCTCCCTTTGATTGCCTTGTGGACTTTCCCAATGAATCATCTCCACATCCTTTCACACTTTCAGCTTTTCGCCTACGATAAAAAAGATAGAAATTGTGAGACTACTCAGTAGTTTCTCTGGAGAAGAATATGAAAGTAAAAGTTCAGTCCAGCACATGAGAAGGCATAACTTTTGGTCCTAATAGGAATCAGTATCCCAATCACTCGGGCTTGCTCGCTCTTAGTTTCGTACTTCATAATACAAAGCACCATAAGAAGCAGTAATTTCCAATGAAGAAGTAAGGTTGACGTTACATTTCAATTCTAAGATTTTTAATTTTATGTGCTTTGCTGTTTAGCAGTGTTAATTTGCAAATCCTTCAATTATAGATTAACCTTTATGTGTAAAAGCGCTCAAGTCGCTTCAATTACCAAAGTAGTCAGAAAAAACTCATAAGTAAACCAAAATAGAATCATTACAGAAGGACAGGTTATTGTTAGCTTACTAAAATAGTCAAAAGTCATGATTTTGTTTGCAGATGCTTCTGCTAGGTAAAATTGTTAACCTACAAGTTTTGCTCATAAAAAATAGAATACTAAAGAATTTATGTGTCCTGAAACTAAATTTTGGCCATGAATATATCAATAGTGCAACTTGAACTCAAAATAATATTTAATGGGAAAAACAAACGCAGAGACCAGAATGTAAACTAATATAGCAACCGTAAGATATGCAGATTTTATATAAGAGGAAAAGGTTCATATAAAGAGCTAAAATTAGATACCTTCTTGCTTCCTCCTCTCGAATCTTCGCGTCATATTCCTTGCTTGGAGGATATTTTGGTAAGCTAGAAGGATCACAAGGTAAGGGCTTTGTATTGAAGAACTGAAAGTAAAAAACCGAACAAGTAAGATATAAAGCATATTACCATCCCATGATACCAATAAAAAGAAAGATCTATTTCGGTAATTAGTGGAAGACACGCTTGAAATGCTAAATAAAATAAAACAATCATGTCTACAAACGGGAAAAAACAAAAGAAAAAAAGGACCTTAAATCATATTTTAATGTTCAGCAGGCTGCAAAAAGTCAATGTAGCTTAACAAACAGACATTAACCTGCTTGAACAATTCTGAGCTCATGAATTCAAATGAAATGTTTTGACAAAAAATATAGAGAAAAACCTCGAAGTAAACCATACGATTGCAGAACCAGATTGATTCTAGAAGGAAATATGATCATCAAAACTACGATTTAGTTTAATTTTCCAACTGTTCATGGGATACAAGGAAATGTAATTTCCAGTTATTAATAATTTAAATTTAATAATGATACTTGCTTAAACGTGCATGGGATAAGAAACTAAACGAATTATACTGGAGGACTCCTATTCAAGGAACACAGTTCCATGGAGAGATAAGATCGAGATTACCTCACTATTGAGTGCAGAAGAAGCAGTACCACGCTTTTCTGGTTCTATTGAAAGTAGGACATCAACAAGGGCCAAAGCTGAAGGAGGAAAGTCCTTGTATGTATCAGTTACGCATCGCTTGTATGGGTGTTGTGGCTTAAAACTAGTAGCATGAGGTAGTTTTGATTTCTTCCAGTATTCTTCAGAAGGTGAACCACAAAGTTTGAAAATCTTATGCATTTGCTCCACCTGTAAATTGTTTAAGTTCTCTCAGTTCGCAATTAAAGAAAAAGTCGACACGAACTGCAAAAATGTACAAAACCAGAATTTAATGTGTTAAAATCATCAAATAAACTAGAATTTGGTGATGGAATAATTCTGAAGTGACACTTCGGAAAGAGATCAGAAGTATGTTAGGAGGAGATAATCCATCATCAAGTGCATTAGGTTTAGATTGAAGAGTAAATTCAAGCCCCTAAGTGGAAGTACCTCTGTTCTTCCCGGCATAATAGGCTTTCCAGCAAATAATTCGGCGAGGATGCAGCCAGCACTCCACATATCTATGGCCACTCCATATTCTGTTGCACCAAGCAAAAGCTCAGGAGCTCTATACCATAGAGTTACAACACGACTTGTTAATGGTTGTGTTTGGTTGGGCTCAAAGGTTGTAGCCAAACCAAAGTCTCCAATCCTTAAAACACCGTTATCATCAATGAGAAGATTTGAACCCTTAATGTCTCGATGAAGTACAGCCCTACTATGACAATGCTCAAGTCCACGGAGCAATTGTTGCATATAACATTTAATCTGTAAAGCACATCAAAAAGTCCATATAAAAATGTGGAGAACATCGAAATATATCATAACCCGGGTTTGCCATCTAGTTTCATGTGCTAATTATGAACATCCCGAGGTTTTTCAGACAAGAAGAGAAAGATGTACCTGTGCTTCAGTAAACTTAACCCGAGGTGCTGCTGCAAGTCCAGCAAGATCGTGCTCCATGTATTCAAATACAAGATATAAGCTGCCTGATATCCTAGATGTGACCAAAGCCTCAAGTTTCATAACATTTGGGTGGTCCAATCTACGCAAAATGCTTATCTCCCTTGCCATAAAGCGAACGCTCTCTGGATCCATATTGACAAATCTCACTTTCTTCATTGCAACAATTTTATTGGTTTTAAGGTCACGGGCCTTGTAAACACTACTATATGTTCCTTGACCAATCTACATAAAAATTTAAACGTTTAGGACTCAATTACTGGAATATATGAAAACCGAACTTTTTATTAGTCCGGATATCTATAGAAAACTAATGAACATCATATTTGGCTGGACAGCAAATTTCATGATTAAGCACTCTCATCCTTAGAGAAAGAAGATACTCAAGCCATGGTTAAGAAAGTCCATATTGGAACTCAAAAGAAACCAAGAAAAAAATTAGTCGTTCTGTCGAAAATAGTTTTATTTACAGTCTATTTTCAGTATTAGTACTTAAAAGTAACCCAAGAAAAAAAAAATCTAATTAATCAAAAACGAAGAAACTTGTAGAGAAAAGTCACTTCGTATGGGAAAACAATTCAGCTACTTCTTTGAACAAAATATGATCTCTACGATATTAGCAGATTCAAGACAAGATGCAGATACCAAAGTTCAGCAAACTATGGCTGTTATAACTACTAGTAGATTAGTGAAGAATAAAATGAAATTAAGGATGATTTGCAAAAACTAAATGAATAGAGAGAAGAAGCTGTAGAACTGACTTTGTTTAATTTTTCAAATGACTCTGCACTTCGAGGAACCCACCCTTGAATAGCCTCGGCTGCAACAGAACTTAGCCACGATGGCCATCCTGCAGCTCCGAGTTCACCCTTTACACCATTAGATATGCTTACAATTCTAGACATCGATTGTTGCACTCCAAAATCCACGGTGGACCGCCTCTTGTGATGTCCTTCCTTAGGCCTCTCGATAATTCTTGTTTTTCCATCATCCTCAACTTTTGTTGCAGGGACAGGAACAACACTGGCTTCTGACGTCCGCTTTGATTTAGATTTCATAGGTAGTTCAATCTTAGGATTAACTAAGTCTACTTTAATCTCCTCTCTTTGTAAGGGAGCAACCATCTGTACAGAATATTTATCAACTTCTTTTTCTTTCTCCTTCTCATGTTCGATAACATATTCATCTTCGGAAGAATCCTTTGAGCAACACCCGCCCATACTTTTGCAACAAATATGTTCTTTCACTCCGAGACCCGCATAATAAACCTGCACCAACCCAAACTATTAACTATATCATCCAAATTCAGTTGAATATTTCAAAATATTAACTTACCAGCCAATGCAGGCCTCAATATCCTCAGAAACTCCAATCCCTCTTTGACAATTCAAAGCGTTCCTCTCTTCAACGCGAGCGGACAAATCCTCTGAAGAAGCCAAAATATCAAGGCATTCAAGAATGCCACAACCACAAAAGTCTTATAAGAGATTGAAATTGAAAACCAATATCCAGGATCTCAGAATATATGTCCTTTCTTCAATATCACCCCATAATTAAGGTATTCTAATATAGCAATTGAAATAAATATCACATTCAAATGTGTATATATTGAATAATGTATTTTACAAGGTACAAAGTTTTTGTTTGTAAATACTAAATGAAAATAAAATTGAAGGCAACCCCAAGAAGTTTAGGAAGTCAAAAACCCAGACCAGGAAAATCCAGCATAACAACCAAATACAACAATTCAAGATTCCAGCATATAAAAGATATACACACAGATACAGGAACAATTGTGCACCAAAAACTATGTATATGGATTCTATGCTTTTTTCTTTTTCTAAGGATTGATGCAGGAATTCTGGTCAAGGTGGTGATGATACCTAATGGGGGATGGATTCTGGGCTTCAAGAAAAGCTAGCTTTTTTTTTCCATAAAAATTCAACTGTTTTTATTAATTACCATTTTTTCATTTTTAAAAAATTACATTTTTTTTCAAAAAAAAAAAAGTTCAAAGAAAGGAAAAAACACCATTTTTACCCATATATTTTAGATATTTCACATTATTATTCACCATCGATCAGAAAGGAAATACAAGGAAAAAAAAAGAGAGTAGTCTAAGAATCTTGAAATCACCTAAAAACACGAACAACCACACATAGCTCAACATTATTTTTTTTTATTTCAATGAAATATTTACCTTTTTTTGATTTCCTTATTTGGTCTTGTTGCTATACTTTTGTCCTCTCTCTGCATTCATATTTCCATATAGAAATATACCCATTTTCACAATGCTGATTTTCTTGAACACTTGAATTATTTTTTTCCTTTTTTGTGTTGGAAGTAGCAAAAGAATGTCAGCAGTTGCAGAAAAAGGCAACATGGAAATTTGAACTCTTTTCCAAGTTGTACTTGTAGTTGTAGACGTGCACTGCAGTAAGGAATGGGACCCCAAGCGCTTTCCTCTGTGCCACGTGGGAGACAATAACCTGAACACAGTGGGACCCACTAGAATAAACCTTGTGGGCCTCTTGGAAAATCCGTTAAGATTGTTAGGCAAAGTATTAAATCCTTGTTAATTTACACCAAGCAAATTAAAACGTGACACCTATTTCCCCATGAAAATATCATTTAACCATGATAAATTTGTTGGATAAATACTTACCTACCATATCGTGTGCACAAAAATCATTTTCTATAAAAATGTTTTACATAAAAGATTAATCTCACTAACAGTTAACTAAACTTAGCCCTTTATAATAATAAAGTTATATAATTATGGAGTATCTAACTATATTTATCGTAACAATAAAATTACAATACTTTTTTGCCATATTAATTAATTACAATTACTCATTATAATCATAAAGTTACAAACTTTACTTATTGTATGGGTCAAAACCTCTCTAAAATATAATTAAAACGACGCCGGTAAAGCATCTCCAGGTCGCCAAGGTTCGAGGCGATCTAATCAATAATGAAGGCCGTGGTCGAAGAGTCTACAAGGACTGAAGCCGGAGAGTCACCAAGGGTTGAAGCAGAAGAGTCGTCAAGGACTTACGTCGAGGTCGAACACCCTTGACAGAGTTATAACGGCTAGTTTTTACATAGGATATTAAAGAGAATACTCTAGTGGATATTCTGTGCACTTGTACTATTAGGGTTTTAGGAACATGTTCCCTATAAATAGAAAGAGACACAATGATAGGGGATATGTGAGATTCATTTGTAAAATACACTTTGACTTTAAAGAAGAGAATCACATCTTATTGCAAGGATACAAACACAACCTTTTTACTAAGATTCTTGTCTTCACTTTTCCAACAGATCCGAGAATAACTCAGATATTCAAAGGATTGTCCATCACTCATCATTGTCAGAGAGAACATTCACTGATTTCATCCTTTCTTGGGTGACTCATTCATTTTATTAATTACTTAAATGTCATTTATTGCTATTCATCAATATTTAATGCTACATAAGTGTTGCATTTGTGTGTTGTCGCTGCTATCTACATAAGTATTTATTGCACTTCCAAGAACTTCATCTTTGGGATATTATTGTTAACTAAGATTAACCCTCATTTATATGAATTTAATTAGTTGAACCAAGATCTATATTTTTTTGTCAAGCAGTTATAACGATAATCACCTTGATAATAAGTTTTATCGTTATAATTGTTTAGTCGTAAAATGGTACAGTTGAATTTATATCGTGGTTTATAGGCAAGCGAATCCATTTGATCCCATAATGATAAATAAATTAAATGAAATGCAAGACTTAGCATTGAAATCGAGATAAAATAACAAACAACTTGGTTTCGAGAGCAAGGCTGCCGAAGACAGTAATAAAAATATTGTTAGATAGAAAAGAAAGTATTATTTAGCTTGGAATAATATGCAGCATAAGTTTATCAGACTTTTCGTGTGTCTTACAATGCATGTTGAAGTCACTATTTATAGTTATACCTAGGGAACAAGGTCCTAGAATCAAGCCCCTCTTAAATGACAATAATGGGGCCATTGATGGATATGTAACGACAGGTAATGAATGCCAAAATTCTCCGTAACGGATGTGTATTCAATACTGAGGAATATTCTTCATTGAATGTCATCTGGTAGCAAATATTCGTTTGCCCTCGTTAACAATGTTCCCTTCGGGTCTACCCAATGACAACTAAAGTTGTTGTCCTCGGTCTTAGTTTCCACTCGCTTTGTCTTTCGTCTGTCTCCGGTTCCACGTGTCACTCTATCATTCGAGTATTTTAATGTTAATAGATTTTACCCTATATAGATAGTCCCCCTACTTTTCAGTGGCATATCTTTGTGTCACCGGGAAGTTGATGAAGTTTACTCTTGGCGGAAAATTTTCTGAACCCTTCTGAAAAGATCTTGACATTTGATAAAACGCACATCTCTTCGCATTTAATACCCCGAACACGTATTACTCCACGATTTGGCAATATTTGCCGGTTCTCGAGGTAATCATGGACATGATTTTAGCCGCCTATTCCTTTACTTATACGCCTCATTCTACTTCTTTTACACTTAACAGCTTTATAAACTCTCAACTTCTTTGCATTCAAGTCTTTGTTGCTTTCATCTTTGGTTAATCTTCTTCAAAAAACTCTCTTCATCTTCTGCCTATCATGGCTTCTTTTACTAACCCTTCCAAGAACTTCGGTCTTCTCTTCGGTGGGGGTCCGAAGAAGAGCAAAGAAAAAGAAATTGATATTGATGCTGACCCTACCACAGTCAACACCATCATCCCCAAACAACACAACACAACCAAGGACTTCAAAGAGAAGTTCCCTTCTTCAATTTCTCGCACTTGGACGGTTGGCATATACCTTTCTTCTATCCGCCCTTCCAGCATTCCTGCTGTGAAGGAGGACTACAATTGCCATGACCTGAACATCATTGCTCCCGAACTGCTGGAGCGAGTAACATTCACTAAGAAGGGCTTCATGTATATTTATACGTACCCATTCACTCTGGGTGTGTGTTCTTTGAGTGGGGGACTTGACCCCGTGATTTTTGAGTTGTGCCACAAATACCATTTTTGTTTGGCTCAGGTGGACCCTTTGTTGTGGCGAACGGCAGCTTGTCTAACGCAGCTGTGCTAGGAGACGAATGTCACGACTCGGAATTTCCACCTTCGGGACCATGATGTCGCCTAACATTTCACTTGCTAGGCAAGACAGCGTTAGAGGATCTTTAATCCAATTTTAATCAATTTATATAAGTAAAATCAATTAAGCTGAAATGAAACTAAAACGGAGTACGAAATTGCAAACAAACCAATAATATCTAAGTACAACCAGGATCTAGAGTAACAAGTTCACGAGCTTCTAGAGTCTCTACAAATAGGGTTTGAAATAAATACAACTGTCTTGAATGAAAAGAACAATAAATATGGAATAAGGAAGGGGGCTGCGGACGCCAGCAGATCTACCTCAAGTCTCCAAATGCCAATCCGAGCCGATACGCCTCACAGACAGCTGTGACCAGTACAAAAATCTGCACAAGAAGTGTAGAGTGTAGTATGAGCACAACCGACCCAATGTACTCCGTACGTATCAAGCCTAACCTCGACGAGGTAGTGATGAAGCTATGATAGGACACCTACGTAAATAAACCTGTACAGACGGAAATATACGTACAACATAGCAACAACTAAAGACTTAACAAGTACTAATGGGAGGGGACATGCGAAAGGGGTATAAGATACGGTAACTACAGCAGGGAATGATAACAAGAAACAGTCAATATACCTTCAATCAACAAAACGAACAGACATAATGAATAAAACTGCACGGCATCACCCTTCGTGCTTTTACTCTCAGTCTCACCATGAACAGTAATAACGGCACGGCATCACCCTTCGTGCATTAACTCTCAAATACGGCACGACATCATCCTTCGTGCTTTCACTCTCAATTTTATCATGAATAAATAAATACGGCACGCCATCACACTTCGTGCATTAACTCTCAAACACGGCATGACATCACCCTTTGTGCATTAACACTCTCCCTTACCATGTAACAATGAACATATAACAACGGGGAGATAAAATAAACAAAAACAAACCTTACTTCAATATTGGTTCCACAATACCAACCTCAATTCCAGAAATAATACTCAATTATCACAGATAGCCCATAAATGCGGAAATAACGATCAATGGGTAATTAACTAGTCTAAGCATGAATATCATGATTAAATAAAGCAATAAATTACAAGAAACAAGTCCCACCCACATGCTTTAACCTAACAAAAACGCATAAGTACTCGTCACCTCACATATACGTTGTACCCAACATTTAAACAAAAATAGGCAAACAAGTCCTAATCTCTCAAGTCAAGGTTAACCACGACACTTACCTCACTCCAAAAATCAACTCAAAGCTCAACCACAGCTTTGCCTTTCAAACAAGCCTCCGAACCAACCAAATCTAGCAAATTATCAACCAAACGATTCAAAATAAGCCTTAGGAACTACCCACGATTGCAAGAGATTCAATTAGGTCATTATTGAAAAAGTCAACAAAAGTCAACTCCCGGGCCTGCTTGGTCCAAACCCGAAATTCGCACCAAAACCCGATTACCCATTCACACCCAAGCCCGGTTATGTAATTTGTTTCGAAATCCGACCTTAATTTGAGGTGTAAATTCTAATTTTACAAAAATCCCTAATTCCACCCAAACCCCCAATTTCCACCATGAAAATCCTAGATTTTAGGTTGAAATCTTATGAAATGCAATGGAGATTGAAAGAAAGTAGGTTAGAATCACTTACCAATGAATTGGGGAAGAAGGGCTCTTGGGAGGTATTAGGCATGCACCAGAACTGAAGAAAACCAGCTATTTTTCTAAGTCCAAACTCACTCTGTGGCCTATTCGAAACTCACCCGAGCCCTCGGGGCTCCAAACCAATCATGCACAAAAGTCCAAAAATATCATACGAACTTGCTCGCACGATCAAATCGCCAAAATAACACCTAGAACTATGAATCTGACACCAAATCAAATGACATTTTCAAGAAAACTTTATGACTTTTATTTTAACAACTGGACGTCCGAATCACGTCAAACTAACTCCATTTTTCACCAAATTTGATAGTCATAAATATATTAATGGACCTATGAGTTCCAGAACTAAAATACGGACTCGGTATCAACAAAGTCAAACATTGGTCAAACCTTTAAAGACATTAAATATTTAAACTTTCAAATTTCGACAAAAAGCGATAACTCGGACTAGGACCTCCGAATTCGATTCCGGGCAGAAGCCCAAGTCCCAAATCACGATAGGGACCCACCGGGACCGTCAAAACACAGATCTGAGTCTGTTTGCTCAA